TCATGGCATCAGTCATCCAGAGATCCCAGATGTGTCTGTATGGAGCATCCCCATGGCTCGGGAAGCAGTGTCTGTGGCTGCTATTGCTGGCTGTTCCAGAGCTCATGCAGCACCTTTCCCAGGCTGGCTGCTCCTGCCTTTTGCTGCTGAGGGGTTGTTTATGTAGGATGCTCTGTGGGTGGGATGTGGTTTTGTCACCACTCCATTGTTGGACTCTGTTTGGGCACTCTGCCCGAGGATGATTAATGATGTTTTGAGTTGAGGCTCTGAGGTGCTTGCAGGCATACTGCAGGTACCAGAAGTAAAAGAGGTGTTGTTATCCTCAAGGTACTTCAGTGTTATATCAAGTGTAATCAGAAGTGAATTAATTAAAGCAGTGTGTACATGTAAATCCTTTTATGGTGGATGTTCAAACAACTCATATCGTGTAGTTTAGAGCTCAGCGTTTCAGACTTTTGTAACCCTCTCCTCTCCGTGAGAAGGCAGAGGGTGCCAGGACTGCTGTCAGAGGACAAATCTCTCCTGCAAAGGTCTTTTTGTCAAATGTGGTTCTTAAAACAAGTTAGGAAATTGTGTGCATTTGTCAATCCTGGCTGCGGCATGTTTCAAGGTTAATTTTTACAGCTCACACAACTAGTGTAGGATGGGATCTAATGGTTGATTGGGTTTCATCTGACCTTGGAGTGAGCAAAAATCTGTCGAAAAATTGTATTTATTGTTGGTCTCAGCTCTATCAGGATTAAACTTGCTTTTTGCAGCACGACATACCCTTGATGTGGTTGTCACTTAGAAAAATTGCCTGGAAATACATCTGGCTCTTCTGTCCAACAGCTCAAGCATTGTGAGGTTGGTGACACTCCACCCCACGGAGAGGAGACACAAATTTGGATGGAGGAGGGGCTGACAGGATTGCAAGGTGACCAGAGATACAGATCCTAAGCTCTGACAAGCAGAGCCAAATCCTTCTTTTTTCAAGTTCAAACCCCTGTTTTGGTGAAGTTGGCAGCAGTGGGGGCTGAGCTGGGGGTGCTGCCAGCCCAGCTGTGGAGGAGACCACAGCTGGCACGGCTGTTCCATGGGAGCCAGAAGGTGAGGAGCTGAAACTGCAGCTTCAGCTCTGCCTGTCCAGGGTGACGGGTGACTTGGGGGACCCTGGAGCTGTATTTGGGCTCTGACAGAAGCTGTCCTGGTCCCACCTGTGTGGAGGAGGCTGGGAAGCTGGGAATCAATGAAAACATAATGAATGAGACCTGGACCCTGCCTGGCACACATCTAAAGCTGTTTGCTCAGGATAGTGTGCTATTTTTATATGTGTGAAGCTAGTGACTTTGTTTTTCCAGCATGCTGGAAAAAGTATCAAACAAGGAGGAGATAAAAATGACCCCAAATGCTCAGAGCACTAAGAAAAGGGGACACTCAAAATCAATCCCCTGATCTTTTTGAACTTGATTAATGGTTTTCTGAGTTGCAGCTCTGTGATTTGGACAGGGCAGAGGTGGGAAATGGGTCAAAAGCTGAAAGTGTACCTAGATGTAAAATTTTGACATACTCCAGTATTAGCACTCCATGTGCTGCTCTGGTCTCAAGCTGCTTTAGTTTACTGTTGGAGAAGGTTGAAAGGTGATTCAGTCATAGTTTACAAGTACCTAAAAAGGGAAGGGGTTTCTGGTTGCTAGATGGGATTCAAATTTACCAGAGAAACGCAGAGATGTCTTGGCTGGAAGCCAAAGTTAGAGAAGTTCAGACCATGAATAAGAACTGCAGTTTAAACTTTTTATGAGTGAAAACCAGAGGAAAGTCTTTGTCTGGAATTAAGCAGAGTCATCAGCAGTGAATGGCTCTAAATGAAGATTTCTGTGTTTTTCTGAAAGCAGCAGGAATTATGAAGTGAGGCTTTCCAGCTCAGAGCAGCCCATCCCAGAGACCAAGGCCAAGCTTCCCTTTTGCCCAGAGCAATGCTCTGGATGCTGTTTCCCAGGCTTGGGGCTCTGCCTGCTCTTCCCACGCTGCTGTCCAAGCACAAGCCCTGCTGCAGTGCAGCAGAAAGGGCACAGATGTGTCAGGGAGCACAGCTCTGCCTCTTTGTGCACAGCCCTTTTCCCAGACACAGTCCAGAATATTTTGGGATTGGATTCCCCTTTCACTGCTCTGTCTGATTCAGCTGGGGGATTGCAGTCCATGAAGTGTGGCCTGGAGCTGAATACACTGTCTCTTTCCCTCCTGTAGTGAGACACCAAAAACATGTAGACTGGGGTGGAAAGATGTTCTCCTCCCTTTTTTTGGGCAGGACTCTCTGCTGGAGGGATGGGATGCCCTGTGTGTGTATCAGCTCTTTGGTTTTTTTGGATCTGCCTGCCTAGGAATGTCCTGTAATCATCACTGGTGGCATGTGCAGAGTTTTAGGTGAGACATGATTCATGTTGGTGGGGAGATCATGGAGAGTTCCTTGCTTGTTCTTGGCCCTCTTCTCCCACAGGCTTCAGGTCCGTGGGGTTTGCTCTGCTCTTGTCAGCATTCCAGTGCAGAGGGGCAGGGCTGACACCCCTTTCTCCCAGCAGTTTCCAGTTTCTCTTCCACTCGGTATGGTAGCACATAGAACTATGGAAAGGAGACGAGAATATTCTTTCACCCTCCCCAGGACTCAGATGTTATATCAGTTTTAACACCAGTTGACCTTCTTTACATCCTACTACTTGTTCTAGCTTATAAAATATTGGAATTCTTCACACTTGTGGCTTCTCTGAAATGAGACAAGAGTTCTCCCTTCAGTGACTGGTATCTCAGTCCTAATTAACCCATATTATGTCCATATGCTGCCTGCTTCATAATTCTGCAGACCACCAGGCTGGAAATAAAACAAAGCAGATGCAGCCATGCCAAGGTCAGGACCTTCCCTGTATTTAAGGTGTATGGATAATGTTGGCATGGGACAGGGTGACCTCGGGGTACAATTGGAGCTAACTGACACACACATTCAGACAGAATAAATATTTGAGAGTCTATTTCTCTATTCCCCAAAATGACCCCTATAAAAGCAAGGTCCTGTTTACCTTCCTGGCTCTCCGTGCAGTGTTCTGAGAAGAGACCAGCTCTCTTCTCTCTTCACTGCCTTCCAGCTCTTCTGGGGAACCCATTTCCAGGCAAGGATCAGGGATATGGGCTTCACAAAACCCATGACACCTTGGATTTTCACAGAATTCCTAAAGTTTGGTGAAAGCTGAGATCATTTCTGGTCAGAAGTCCCTGTTTGTGCCAAAGCACAGTGACCTGGGAAGCAGTGAGAGATGTCAGTGCACAGCCTGCATCCCTTGCCTGCAGCTGACCCAATGGTTTTGTGCTGTCCCTGTCCCATTAGAAAATCATGAAATGGTTTGGGTTGAATCAGCCTTAGGGGACCTTAAAACTCATCTCATTTCAACTCCCTGCCATGGCAGGGGCCCCTTCCACTATCCCAGGGTGCTCCAAGCCCTGTCCAGCCTGGCCTTGGACACTTCCAGGGATCCAGGGGCAGCCACAGCTGCAAAGTCTGATGTGCTTGGGACCACGTTACCCACTCCCAGCCTGGGCTTGCCTTTCAGTCACTGTGAGCTCTGCTTGGCTAATTCCTGTTACCCTGAACTGTTCCATTTCTATCCATGTTGAGATCCTTTTGATTAAGGGCAATTTAGCTTCTCATTCCCATCAGGAATATGAGAGTGCTGAGAGCTTCCTACCTCAGGAGCATATTCCTGATGATCGCTGTGCTTTTTATTATTTCATGTAAGATCCCTTTTGGTGAGAACAGTCTTTAAATACTATCAACCTACACTAAACTTAGCTTGGCATGAAGAACTAGAGGAGACACACAAAGGTCTGTAGAACAGTGATTGTTCTGATGAAACCCATCCAGTCCCTCAGCCTTTGAGTGCTCTGCCATTTCGCAAGATCAGAATGCACAAAGCAATTAGAAGGTGGTTTGTGCATATTAGAAAGAGGAAATTATCTATCTGTAACACACCTCAGACAAGGAGAAACCATTGTTACCAATATTCTTAAGGCAAAGCCAGCAAGTTGCTGTTTCCTTTTTTAAGGTTAGCACTGAGAAAGAAAAAGGGAGTTAGAAGAGTGCAGAGCTGTCAGTTGAAAGAAAAATTGCAAGCCTGCTAATCCTTTCTTGTCAGGTTTAATATAAAGCCTGGCAGAGATTGATAAGAAGTGTCTCCCTCTCTGTCTGATGTTCCAGGTGCATGGTAAAAATCACCTCTCTGAAACACCCACGTGCAGAGCCAGGCTCCAGGCTGGAAAGGCTGCTGGCCGGCCTGACACTGCTGGCAGAAAACCATTTAAAATACCTATTCTTTAATTTTTCTTCTTGCAGCCTGAAGAATGGCTGTTCCTCCTAACTCCTTACACATGCAGGATTTTCTTGCAGCCCCTCTCAGTGGTTACTGCTCTGCTGATGTTGAGCTGAACAAGGTCTCTGCAGCAGATTTGGAGCATCTGGGGCACAGGGGCCTGCTCCCTGTGACCTGCCTCTGCTCCATCTGCACTGAAACATTCTGGCTGGGGCTGCTGGGGCTGTGGGACTGGCAGCACACCTGTGGCAGCCCCAGAGTTCAGGTAGGTGTTGATAATCTGCAGCAGCAATGGCCAGAAGCAGGGGAAAATAATCCATGAAGAGCTTGAGCTCATGCATGGTGGGAGAGCCTGGAGAGCTCGGCAGAGCTCTGCAGGGACAGGAGACACAGGGTCCTGCCTGCATGGGTAGGGCTGCTGTGGAACCATCAAATCTGGTCACGGGGAGCCTCAGACCTGAGGGCTCCCTCTGTTCCCTGTGTGGACGTTTCTGACTCCATGCTCCTTCCCTGCGTGCTGTTTTCCCCGGGCAGCCCCTCTCTGTCACCTCGTGGCAGAGGGGGCAGCAGGAGCTTGGCCCAGGGGAGGGGCTGGGGGGGTTCCTCTTGTGTGTGCACAGCTCTGAGAGGGGCAGGTTTCACAGTGTCCCCTTTCTCTTTCCCTAGCTGTTCCTCCCAAACTGAAGAAACTGAAGAGCCCAAATGTTCACGTGGGTGAGAAGATTTCCCTGAAATGTGAGGCGACTGCTGGAAACCCTCAGCCATCCTACAAATGGTTTAAAGATGGAAAGGAGCTGAAGAAGAGTAAAGACATCCGGATCAAGTATGGGAATGGGAAGTAAGTATGACACAGGGCTGCTCTGCCTCTGCTCCCTCAGGGTCTGGGTCTGCGGCCATCTGGCTGGAGGTGTTGCTGTGCTCCCCAAGTCTCTGCTGAGCAGCACTGAGGGCTCCCTCAGGGCCACAGGACCACCCTCAGCCCAGTTACCATGGCCAGGAGAGCGAGCAAGATCCCCAGTGTCCTCAGAGAGTCGTGGAGAGAGGAGCAGGGCATGCACAGGGAAGGTGCTGGGCTTGTGGATGGGCTGTCCTGGGGTCAGGGAGGCATTGGATACCTGAGGCAGGTGTCCTGTGACGTGGGGAGGCTTTCCCTGGTAGCTGTGGGCAGCTCAGGTTGCCTGGAGTGACTCCTGCTCTGTGATTAGGGGTTGGATGCAGAAGTACCCAAACCCAGCTGTTGCCCCATCACTCAGCAGCCGGGCTGTAGGAGGAATTGGTTTGTTCCCTCCTGAATTTAGGTGGACACAGAAGCATCTAAGGCCACTGAAAAATCACAGAATGACAAATTAGGGCTGGAAGGGAGCTCTAGAGATCATCCAGTTCAACCCCCCTGCCAAGGCAGGGTCACCTGGAGCAGGTGACACAGGAACATGTCCAGGTGGGGTTGGAATGTCTCCAGAGAAGGAGACTCCACATCCTCCCTGGGCAGCAGTTCCACTGTTCTGCCACCCTCAGTGTGAAGAAGTTCTTCCCCATGCTGGGATGGAACTTTTCATGATTTAGTTTATGGCCATTGCTCCTTGTCATGTCACTGGGCACCACCAAAAAGAGCCTGGCACCATCCCCTGACACCCCTTGGAGATATTGATGTGCATGAATGAGGTCCCCTCTCAGTCTTCTCTACACTGAGCAGGGCTGAGATGCAAGATTACCTCACCACACTGATCAGGTGTCATGGTCATCTGCAGAGACCTCGTCTTGTGCAAATCCTTCCATCTGTCCACCCAGGGCAAGCTCCCTCACATCTGCCCCAAAGTCCCCACCCAGCAAAGCTCTCAGGTGGCTCTCAGTGACTGTCACCCTCAGCACCACCTCATGCAGGCAGGGCTAAAGCACCTGGAGATAGAGGCTCCAATGACCAAGCTAAGGCGTTCTCACTGGGAATGGATTCAAATGAATCCATGTTGATATTTCTCAAGGCCCAATATTTACATATAATGTATCTTAAAATTATTCCATTATCATGGCTATGCTTGCGTTCATACATCCTGACCTAGCCAGCAAAAGTCAGCTTCCAACTGCCTGACCCCTTGGAAAATTTGATTCTAATTCTTTGCTAGCATGTGTTGTGGGTGTGTGAATACAAGGTCATCATGGACTTGTTAGAGTAGCAATTTTTAAAGAAAGAAGAAGCCACTACAAATCAGTTAGAAAAATCACTCTGTGTCTGAACGGGGCGTTGCCAATTGCCCTAATTTAATTTCAGTCCTGTTGGGTTTGGTTTCAGAGTCACACCCAAGATGGTTGACCGCCTTTGTAATAACTCTAGGGCTTGTGGCTGTGTTGGGATGAGGCAGTGAGGTGGTCAGTGCGCCCCGGATAACTGGGTGCTGTCTGCTCAGGAAGGACTGTCTGGGCTTGCAGGCAGCAGGGACAGGGCAGAGCTGTGCCTGCCTCTCTATGTCCCAGTAACAGGCCCCCAGCTGGGTAATAATTAGCACTGAATCTCTGATCCTCAGAAGATAGATCAATCTCTTTATTCTATTATCATTATTAAGAAACATTCTTGCTTTTATAGATGGTCCCCAGGAGGGACCTGGACCTAAAAATTGGTCCTCTAATCTAAACACCATCACCATTGGCTAATTAGGAAACTACTTTTTGGTAAACAAATCTTTACAACACATTCTACATGTTCAGAACAAGAGGTGTAGCAAGTGAGGACAAGAATTGTTTCTCTTTCTTTTTTCTAATTTTCTCACAGACTTTTCCCAGAAAGGCCTGAGAAAGTTATGTGTTGCTCCCCGTGGCCAGAGGGCTGCTGCCACATCTCTCCTCTGCTCCCCTCACTGTTTTTGGTGTCCCTGGTCAGTCTCATGGCCTTGGTTGTTTAGCAATGGCTGATGGGGCTGTGATGCACTGGAAAATTGTCTGCAGCATGCCCTGCAGCCAGGCATGGGAATCCTGCCTGCCCAGGAGGTTGGGGAGAAATTTCCCTCAGAGCTAGAGAGCAGCCAGCCCCAGGGCAGACACCCAGTACTCCCCTGCTGTGCTCCCAGTTATCCCAGCCCTTCCTCACCTCCTGGCACCCCGTGTCCAGCACAAAGCTGTGGCAGGAGGGCATCCCACCCCCAGCCATGGGGACATTCAGTCCCTGGGCCAGGGACAGGAGCAAATGGAAGGAAGGTGGTCCCCTTTCCTCAGGACACTGCTGTCAAGTCATAATTTTGCATTTACCAGTTTCCATGGCAACATGTTGGCTCTCCAGTGAGAGGCCAAAGATGTGTGGTGCTGGCAGGGCTTCCTGCTGGCAAAATAAGCCCAAGGATAAACATTTTAAGGAAAGCTGAGCACCGGCCTGCTCCAGTGTCTGAGACTCCCTCAGCAGCAAAGGTGTGAGCCCAAAGCATTCCCAGAATTGCTTCCCATCCCAGCTTCTGCTCCCTGCTGCCATTAAAATGTGTCTGTCTTGTGCTGGGACCAGGCTGTGGAGACTGGACTCAAGCAGCTGTTGAGCAGGAACAAAAGGAAATGGCCTCAAGCTGTGTCAAGGGGGGTTTGGATATTAGGGAAAACATCTTCACTGAAATGGTGGTCAGGCATTGGAACAGGCTACCCAGGGAAGTGGTGCAAGTTCAAAAACTGTGCAGATGTGTCACTTGGGGACACGGTTCATTGATGGCCTTGGCAGTGCTGGGGGAATGGTTGGACTGGGTGATCTCAGAGGGCTTTTCCAACCAAAATGATTCTGTAGTCCTGTGGGACAGTTCTGAGATAATTACTCCCCAGTGAGCATTTGCCCCTTGTTTAGCAGTGCAGGAGCACTTCCCTGAGAGCATCTGGGTGGGTCAGTGCACACCCACCCTGGCATTGCCACCTCTGTCCCCTGCACCGCGTTTGCTGGGCCCCGGAGCTGAAAAACTCGAGGCAGAGTGTTTGCTGGCATTGGACCTGCCTCCTCTGGTCTTGACTGCATGGAACAAACACTGAAAACTGCTCAGAGCAGGCTGAGGGCTGAGAGAGCCCTCATGACTTTGATGTCTTCATTGTGCAGCTGGTGGGGCCAAGTTTAGTGGAGGGACATGTGATATGGGTGTAGAGCATTACTTCCAGCGTGTTGGGAGGGGACTCCAGAGAAGGAGAAGCATCCCAAACTGTAAATCTCTGAAAGGACATCTTACTCTATAATGATTATTTTAAGAATAATGGGATTTATACATCTGGCTCTACTTAGAGATAGCACTGGCTTCCAGATAATCCTCTGTGCTTCCCTTCAGTTCAGAGTGGGGATTTCAGAGGGCCAGAAATGGAGCACTGGGAAGGGACCTTCACAGGGAAAGTACACAAAGCAAAAACGTCTCAGGCTGTGCAGGACCTGGCCTGGTGCACGGGATCATTTCTTTAGAAGTGTAACACCTAAAAGAGTTTTTTCTTGGAGCCAGGCAAAAGGAGCCCTCCAGCAAAGTGATGTCCATAGTGTTTCCCTTGGCCCTGTGAAACCCTGGCAGAGCTGGGCACAGCTGAAATCTGCCCCCAGCACACAGATCTTTAGCATGCAGAGGATTAGAATGGGAGACAAGAACATGGTTGCCCTCTGTGATTCATTCCTGGCTTTCCTCCCCGTGTGTTTAAAAAGCCTTGAGGTTTCTAACTAGAAAGTATGACTGAAGCACATTTTTTCGTGATCAGGTTTTTGTTTGATCTCTAGAAAAGGGGATCTCTTTCAAAATAAGGGATGTATATATTGTAAGGAGGAGAGGAGCACTTAACTGCATGTCAGCTTTTCAGCTTTTCCATCAATCATTTTCCCTCTTCTTTTTAAACTTACCGGCAAAACTTCTGGTGCCATCAGGCAAAGGAGTCAGGTTTTTTTAATGGATATTTGCTGGAGGGAGGGGAACAATTCTGATTCCTCCTTTCTGAACTTCATGTTCCATCTGTAATTAGTGACAGGCTGGGGCAAGCCCAGCTTGCATGAAGGGGAAACCTCTTTAAGGTGGAATAAATTATTGGCTGGAATTTTATCTCCATCTCCATTTAAATAAAGCACAGTTGATGGGAAACCCAGAGAAATTACCAAGAAAGAATTGCCTGTGGTAGTGGAAATACAGCCTAGTGAAGGGCTCTCCCCCCAAGCTGCCAAAGTGACGCCATTTTTGGCTGAGTGTGTCTGAGGTCTGACTGAGGCTCCCGAGCAGTTCAGGTAGGGTTTTGACTTTCTGACTATCCTGGCAAATGGTCAAGTGCCAGCTGTGGAGGAAGTCAAGGGAGTTTTTGCTTGTAGAGGTGTAGAGGACCTTCCCCTCTTGAAGTCATGCTCAAGGCTCAGCCTGGGACACGCAGATGTTCAGCTGGAGCCCAGGAGCCTGTGAGTCCCCGAGCTGTGCCTGTCCTTACAGCCCTTTCCCTTTGTGTGCTCTTCTACCAAGGGACATTGCTGGGGTGATGAAGTAGGCGTATCATTAGATTGGAGAGGGTTGGCAGTTCAGTTTGGGACAGGCTGACCATATGACATCCCTTGGGAGTAGTGTCCTACTTTCAGTATCACCAGGAATCCCTATTGTTAGCCTGTAAGTGGAGCCAAGGGATACCCTCCTCTCCTGTTTCTGTACAGTAGTCCCAGAGGCGATGCCACTTGAGCAGATTCATTGCTGGGGTCCTCCTTGTAGGGCTCCCAGTTGTAGATTATTCCCCACCCACAATGAATGGGGCTGTGGTCTTCCCTGTACAGCTCACTGCACTGGAATGAAGGCCAAAAAAAAAAAATAATGCCAAAGCAGCAGGGGAAAGAGAGTGCCAATAAAGATAAATGATTTCCTAATTAAGCCTGGAGACAAG